CGATTGAGGCATGTAGTACACGCGTTCACCCGAGTTCTCTTCTCTCTCGACCCTCTCAGCCATTCCGTTCTCGACGTAAAGCCGGATTACCTGATCATATCTCTGCATGAGCTCAGGATTCTTGCTCAGCCTCTTTCGCTGGCTTTCGAGTCTCTTCCAAGCCATCTCTCGATTGCAATCAAGCTTTACATCAGGTTTCCAAGGGAGGCACACTTCGTGTCTTCGATCGGATTTGGTAATGCTTCCCTCAAAGCGCAGCATGATGCTGCTATCGGAGGGAACCTGGACCTCTGCGTCCACGACTCCCATACTCTCAAGCTCCCAAAAGCTCCTCGGGACAGCCGCGTTCTCCTGGACGCTCACATCAGCTCTGAGAACGATCACTTGAGAACAGTTGACAACAGCTGAAGTCGCCTGTGAGCGCCCATGTACTGCACAACCAAAGGCGGTCTCCACTGCCGTCAGGTTCTCACTCAGTCAACGGACTCTTTCTGTAACGCATCCCCGATAGTGATCCGACCAAAAAAGGATTCTGTTGTGATTGACCTTCGTGCGTGCACCTGCCAAAGTTACCAAGAGTGCGTCCCCGCTGTCGGTTCGCCAGACCCCGCCTAATCCGAGGACCGTAAGAACTCTGTCTCCGGAAAGCCACGCCGAGAGGATTACCCGCAGACATATGGACAACGGACCCCGGATGTGGTCAATGGAAGCCGCACCTACCTTCCGCCCGTTCCGACTCGCACATCCTTGTCGCTTTGGATGGCCAGGTGGAACGGTCAGCCACTTCTAGGTCCTACGGCGCCAGCCGGTGGAATTAGCGCAAATGACCTCGTCGAGTGGGTGTGTGACGTGTGGTGTGTGTGCCTGCGAGAAAGGAGAAGGGGGAGGGAGGAGCCCGGTGTATCTTTGACTGGACATTGGCTGCGGACCCGCTGAGGGAAGCCCCTCCCTATCGACACGGGAAACAATACCCTTAAAAAAGAGCAGCGTGCGACCTGCTCGCGTGCTCTCTGATGCCGACTGTAAATGTGTGGTCTATGTAAATAAACAGAGATATTCGACAGAGACCCGCTCCCGGTCCGAACTTTCCTGGTTCCTGCCCTGGCGTCCTGGCTGCTTTGGGGCTCCTGTCGAGTTCGTCTCCGGGAGAACTCCTCGGTAGCAACAATAGGTGGACAGCGGCGGGATGACGTGCCTGATTATGGTCCTCGGTGTCGGTGAGTGCTTTGCGATTTTCCCTTGATTTACAAGACCTTTAGATTTGTGTTAGGTACGCGAGCGGAGAGCTTCCCTGTCGAGCTTTACGAAGGCGAAGTAGTCCCACTGGTTTTAGTTATTTGGGGAGGGAAAACACGACACGCGAGACCATGGATGTCAATAGGTTGCGCAATCGTGATTTGGGGGCGATATGGGAGGAGCTTGGCATAAGCGTGGAAGAGACAAAAAGAAGGAAGCCGATCATGGACCTCCTTCGTGAGGCGGAAGTGTCCAACGGGGAACTTAAGGCAGTGTTGGACAAAACACTCACTACAAGTATTTAAGTTAAGTTACTAAATACCTGCTTCATAAAGTATTTAAATTACGACTCAAGTTACTTTCACTGTAAAGTATCTTGAGTAGAGTATAAATAGTTAGAAATGTAATTGAATCACTTTTGAAGATACTTCTGTATTGCGTAATTTGTATCGACGTCAGTGACAACAGCAATTATACAGTTGCACAAATCTGTTTTACCCAGAATGGTTCATTAGCACGTAACAACACAAAACGGAAAAAAAAGCATCGGAGGACTATTTTATGCAATCCAACTATATTAGGAGCAGGACATTATCACGGATGACAAATGATGAGGGGGCGAAGGACTGAAAAAAACTAAACGTTTGATGGGGCGAACACGTGCCCAAAACAAAACGGAGAAAGGCTAGCGTCGGAGGCGTCGATGTCGGCGCAACAGCAGGATCGAGCGCTGGGACGAGACTGACCCCGGACCGTCACACGGAGCACCTTCTGTACCCGCGTGGGTTTCTGGAACATTCGGCTTAGAACCTTCGGCGCGTAGAACATTCGTAACTCGATCACACGACAAGGTTTTCGAACTTACGAGAATGTCAAGTTGAAAGAATAAACAAAAGAGTCCGCTCCCTGGAATCACACACGGAGCTCCGCGCGAGAGCCAAGCGCGGGAACCATTCGGCCCCGCGCTCGCTCGGCAACGCGCGTGGTAGTATCACCGATACATGTTACAAAATATTTTTGAGACAGAAATGAACAGGTTGCTTTAGCTATTGTCGAGGAGATCGAATTTTGGGGGGCGCTCTGACCCGTTTGTTGTCTCCACCCCTTGGTGTTTACCCAACACAAGACCTGTGCCCATGCCCACAGGCTTTGTGGGAATGTCTATGTTATCTTCTTCAATGGAGCGCGGGGCGCAATGTAATGTAAAAATACTAACAATAAACGAAGTGACGCTAAGTGCCGGATCTCTCCCGAAAGCAGTCGTCAGAGAATACAAGCTTGACGCACTTCTGCTTTTGTGCTGAGTTGGGCACCGTGCATGCTGCAGTGTTCACGAAGGCCGGAGTGGTAAAAAAATAGTCCCTCCTCCCAGTCACCAAAGAACACGAACTCCAGCCGAGCACTGACGCCGTGTTCGGTCAAGCCAGCTGAGCGTTGAGTCATTGTGTTTGTTCTCTCATTCCGTGTAGCTCTAACGTTAGCCGCTCGGGGCGCCACGGTCTGATCTCATCCTCAATAGTGACAGCGCTGAATATTCGTCCTGCGGCGCACCTTAGACGCATACCGACGACCAGACTCAAGATTTTGCAAGGCAGAAGACCCTTCTCGCCATGGGGGAGGAGGAAATAGGCAACGGTGCTCAGGGTAGAAGAAGAGATAGGAGGGATGAAAAGTAGAAAGCGCGAACTCGTCGTCGATCTTTTTAACTACAATCTATATTCCCTCTATGAGGAGTTCACTATAAAGGAACTTGGGATACAGATATGACAGAATGGATAACAAAGAGAACCCACATACTAGCCAGGACAGTGGTCGCACCCTCTTCAAGTAGGTTGCGTTCAGAAAGGCACGTTGGGGACGCTTTGTTGGGATTTCGAGAGGTCATCCAGCTTTTTTGTTCGTTTCCTTTCCTATTCTCTGCTTATCAATCTTCGCTTACAGACAGTGTTCACGAGAACAACCAGTGACGGACTGACGACAAAAGGAAAATAAACAAAAGAAAACCTGGACGTTGTGCCGTAGCGGAATTAAATATACAAAAAAGGCCTTTTTGTGTGTCCACTTCTCATTCTCTTCTATTTGTCATTTTCTTGACACTAAAGTCTGCATAATTGTCGTAGGTCGTTTCCCCATCTGCTTTGCGCCTCAGTGTGGCAATCATTACTTCCGTAAAACCCTCCCTTTTGTTTGAGGATTTTTGGGGAAAACCCTAAGAAACAAAAGGCGCCTTTGGGAAGGCGACGCGGGAAAGCCTTCATTGTACGAAATTTGGGCTGAAATATGAGTCACAATTGGCAAAAAAACGATGTTTTTTTGTTTTGTTTTCACGAGTCTGAACACAGTCACCGTAGCTAATCGGAGCTAGCAACAGGATTTGTATCTCAAAAGAATGTTCACGTGTTCTCGTGCTACGCCCACGCCACTTCATACCGAAAAACTCGAAAAATGGCGGAAGGTCAATAATATATTCGAGATAATGATTACAAGAAAATCAAAAATGTAAATAAAATATAGCTTAAAATACTCTCGATCAAAATATTTGCAAGATACCAAGATATTTCAAAAAGTATTTTAAATACACTATCTTGAGTAGAGTATCTGAGATAGGCACAAGTCTGACTTAAGGACTGTTGGGATGTGATTCGGGAACGCGAAAGGCTCGAATTGAAAAAGAGTGAAAAGCGGGAAAAGCACGAGGCGCGCACACGACCTAGAAATGAGCGAAAAGCGCGAGCGAGAGCGTGCTCAGGAGCTAGAACTACAAAGATTGAAGCTAGAGAAGGCAAAACTCGAGGCTGAGGGTTCTAGCCGTCCTGGATCGGGTGTGCGGCTTGCGGAGAGGGTCAAAATTAAGGAGCTGATGCAACCGTACAAGCTGGTAGACGACATCGTTCTTTTCCTATGTTAACTCGAAGAGAAGTTGTGAGCGGGCAAGTTTCTCACGCGAGGAGTGGCTCCAAAAGCTGCTAATACTTTTGCCGTGTAAAGCGGCAGATGTAGTCGCTCGATTAAGCAGTCATGAGGCAGACGACTACGAGAGCTCGAAAGCCGCGCTTCTCGGGAGGTAACGCCTGTCGACAGAGGTTTTCCGCCAGCGGTTTCGCACTGCGACTAATACCCCTGTCAGACGGGCATCTTGAAGGCCTTTAGGGTAAAGGTCCTTTAACTCAAATGTCATTTAGGCGGTGTCAGACGTGCAAGTCAAATGTCATTCGGGCTAAATGACATTTACGTTCAACGGAGTTACAACAACTCCGTTAACTCCCCAACTGCCTACTCTCGTCGACAGCGATCACGGATGACGACGAAAATAATAAAAAATAGATAGTCTCATTAAGGAATTCATCAGTTAGAATAAATTTTAAAACAATTTACGAAGCTGTCTGCTTACTTTAAAAAGACTTTAGCGCGACCACAGCAATCATGTTCTCTGCTCCTTCCTGTTCGTCGTAACTCGACTCGCCATTGTGCTCGCCGCTCTCCTTATCTCTTCGCTTTTGATCTTGTTTTTGTGTTCTTCCTTCTCCTTCGCTTCTGCTTTCGTTGTATTACTTAACTTTCATTTTGCAGTGTTCTTTTGTATTCCTAAATAGAAAGTTTTAATTTTTCCTTTTTCATAGTTTGTATTTAGTTTGTATTTTGTCGAACGATGACGGAGCCGTCGCAGAAGGGCCCGCGAGTCCAGTGGTCCGTCTCTGAGATTTGGGCCTTGATCGGCCTTTGGGAGGATAGGTTGTGCGACCTCCGGTGCCAAAAAAGGAATGGGGGGATTTACGCCGAAATGTCAGAGGCGATGAAGTTAATTGGGCATAACAAGTCCAAGGATCAAGTGCACAACAAGATCGAAAACCTCACGAGCGTCTACCGGTAAGCAATATTCATGAACCCTGTTTCCTTCGATATTATGGTGCACCAAGACCCGAAATCGGGTGTAAGAACTTTGGGAGAAATATTATCGTAAATATGTAGCTTTAATATTTGCCTCTGGCTCTAGGGTCGGATTTGGTCAACGATGAGAGCAAGATCTCGGCCTCTGTTGATTTTTAACTCAGCCGGCTCGCATTCACGGAACTAAAATATCGTAGCAGAATATCGTCTGCTGACGTGAGGGAAAAGGGGGAGTTCGTCTGCTATGAGTAATTAAAATAAAACATCTGCTAACACGGGAGAAAAAAAAAAAAAAAAAAAGTGGGTCGTCTGCTCCGAGTTCGGCCCCGTGGGCGGTGAGATCGAAAACAAACTTGAATTGGGATTGTCTGCCATTTACCGAAGTACGGAACCGACGACCGTGCTTTGTTTGGAAATGACACAAGCGATTGCTGAGGAACAAAAATGCTTTGTTTGGAAATGGCATAAGCGATTGCTGGGGAACAAAATAATAATTATTACTCGAAACATCAGGATAAGAAGTTACCTGAAACGATCACTATAAACGTTTGCTTTCCTTTCTGAACACGTGAAATAATTCAAAATATGTATCGCAGAGATTGTGTCATGGGTGGTATTGAGAACCATATGGGGCACCAATTTTTAACAGGGCTCAGCAAACACAGGCTGAGTGGATGACTGCACCCCAAAAAGGATTTCTTGGCAACATGAGTCTTTAAATGCTGTGATCATGTGGCTAGCGAGAAAAGATTTGCTTGTTCCACCGCAAGATTCCGAACCACATCTGAAGTAGTCGTGCTCAAAACTCAGCGGAGTGGCTTGTAAAGCTTCCAGAAGTTGAATCCTCCAGTTCCTGAAGTACACAAACTAGTTGAGACTCGTGGCAATAACACGCAAAGCACTATTTAAGAAAAGACAATGGAGGGGGACTCATTACGCTTGGGTGTTTCCACCACCGAGTTTGATATGCAGTCCTTAGTCACTGCTCAGAACCTCAAAAATCTTGTATTCTCGTTCCTAAGCAAGCTCTTAAGTATTTTAAATGTTGCCCTCTTGTCTGTTTGAATGTCTTGCTTGTTTGCTGCCCTTTTTGCATCAGATGGAAACTGTTGGAGTAGCAGATCCTCAGCACCTAGAACCAATTAATGAATGCTGCCTTTTGGGTGATTACAAGATCCAGCTCATGACAGGATAGCAATGCTTATGACTTTAAATCACAAGTGACAAAAGACACTTTTGCTTATGCATTCCCAAAAACTTGGCAGACTTTGGAGTGGTCACTAGCTTTGTAAAATGGCCCAGCCTTGCACTGGAGGTTGCCTTTGCAAACATATTTGCATACATTATAAATTTTATTGAGCTTGCTATATTATTAGGAAGCACCTGCGGACGGCCAGCACAACCGGAGCAGGAGGAGTGAACTGGCCGTTCTACTGGGAGATTCACCGTTTCCTGGGATCCCTGCCCGCAAACGACAACACTCTCGTGGACGAGAGCTTGTGTGCAGATGATGTGACACCAGCTGTGTTGGAGGTAGGCAGTACATGTTGCACTAACGTTTCACCCACAGAGTACTAACAACATTCCTAATCTCCAAATTTGTGCATGCATTCGTAATCTCCTTTACAGAAAATCTCTCAGTAACAAAGTACAAACTTTAGTGCAGATGTTGTAAGCTAAAACACTTTTCATGAATCTGTCCGCCCGTAATTTCGTCTTCAATGAGGACTAAACAACCTTTAATCGAAACAGCCAATGATGCAGTGGTGAGAGAGTAAATAAAGTTCTTCACGCCCACCATCAACCAAACTGCCGAGATTAGTTTTTCGTTCCCGCTCTCGTATGTTTCGCAAATCGTGACAAAACTATGTCGCGGTTCTTCGGAGCCTTACAAGAATTGTAAATTAGGGATGATTTATTGGGCGTGTTCAGTAGCGGCTCCCTCAGCTCCGAACGGAGTCACTCGAGTCGGAATCCTCAGAGCGCCTATTGAACGGCCAAAAAAACCGCGGCTCCAAACCTGCTTCTACGCTATTTCCGCTTCCTCCCCTGTGCCAGACGGTCTCCGAATAAACTGGAAGCAGACGATAGCGAGCACGATCGCTTTTATTTGACACCGGTATTCATAAAGTCTTGACAAGGTCGTTAAATAAAAAGCGAGTCACTGTACACATCAGCGCTGCTGTTCGAAGCGATCCAACGCGATCAAGCACTTCACTTGGCGGTGCAAAGGCAGCTACTGTTATAAAAACCGACAAAATGTCGTCAGCGGACGCAAAATATGGAGCTCGGCAAATCTACGCCGCCGGTTGCGATACTTTTATATGGCCATACGTCTGTTCTGCCCTTCGCAACAAACTTCCTATAAAATGTACTCGTATACACACCGGGAAGTTCGGCTGCGCTCGGCGATCTAGGTTTTGTCGGCCAAGGCGAGCGTCGGCCAACGTGCACCCCGATTTAGCTACGCAAACAAAACCTTAATCGGGATCATGCTCTGTGTGAGTGTCCAACTGGCTACCGAATTCGCATTCATAGCCTGCCTTGCTCTGTTCAGCACGGACAGGATTTTCGTCGATATTCACCGAGTTTCAGAGCAACGGCGATCAAGACATGCCGTCCAGTGAACGTTTACATTGTTTATTAGCATATTCAAACCCAACAAAATACGGTCCAATGCATTTTCCGAAAAAGCATTACCTGAAAAGAAATTCAAAGAAAATGTGTGAATGAGTCAGCGCCTAAGAAGGAGCGCTGACTCTTGACTCCTGGAGCCGCTACTGAACGCGCCCATTGAGATGATGTGCAGTCTACTTGGTTTAAAAAACATCCCATCCACCAGTGGAGTCAGTGCCTCATTCACACAATCATCAAGCTATAAGTGAATCTTTGTGCATGCCTAATTGGGCATTTGGGATTTACAGACACACATCACATGCTGCAATGAAGTTGTCTCCTGCTAAGTCATGTTTGGACATAAACAGGGGACTTGTCTGGACAATGATCACAGTGCAGGAAGGACTATCTGCAACTCGAGCTGGGCATATGGCACCAAGTGTTCTAAATTCTAACCAACCCAGTGACAGTCTTGCGCCAATTTTTTTTTTTTTGTGCTTCAAGATTCCTGGTTGCTTGGCGAATAAAGCCTAAAGTTGTCAAATGAGGGCTGGAGGGCATGTGCTTGGAGATGAGAATAGGCCAATTTAATAAAACTGTTTCGCTTCTGGTTCGTAATTTTCAAACGGATTGGTACACACTTGCCGTTCGGGCATGTAGGTTTTGAGCAGATTGGTGTACACTTTCTGCCGTTTGTCATATTGTTTTACGCGAAAGCGAATCTTTGCTAGTGTCTATTTTTGTTCTGGTGAGCCTCAGAATCACGGCCCCAAGTGGCTTCTTCAACGACGGAACTCTGGAAGCACGATCAGGGATATCTCTCGAGTCATGTAAACCTTCATTTACTCTGTTTTTATCCCCATCGTAGAAGCTTTGGGCACGTCTACCGGAGCCATCTTGGTCATCTGCTAACTTGCTAGCATGTATTAACTCTGAATGAAGGATGAAGGCTGGTAATATTTAAAATTGGGTGCTGGCCTTTGCTTCTTTATGTTGCTGAGAAATACGGCAAGTGCAGTTGATCAAAATGCTAAAGTAGAGCAAGGAGAAAACATATGGCCTTCATTGCCTCTGCCCATTGAAAAAGCATAGAACGGCTGCGCACCAAGATGGATGTCGGCCGGATTTTGAATTGAAATGGTACACGTGAAACCACCCTATACACAGAGTAGGTAGAAAGCCAAACTAGTTTCAGAGGGAGACTGTGTACAAATGACACTTGCCATGCACCTACCAGAAGGAATAACGAGTTTGAGGGTTGGGCTAATTGGTAGTTGTTAAACATAATGAGATAAAACGGCGCAAAAAGTCATAAAAGGAAGCGACGGACAGGACAGAGCGCTGACTTGCTGCAGTGTTCAAGGTACGAGAGATTACTGTGTTTCTAGTTTCTAACAAAATTTATCCTATCAGCTGCTTTCAGAAACACAGGCAGAGGATGTCCCGTCAGACGACATGAGGGACGACACATCCGACGAGACGTCCCAGGAGCTGCCTGGTGCGAGTACCAGCGAACTGCCTGGTGCAAGTACCGGCGAGCTGCCTGGTGCGAGCACCAGCAAATCTAGGAGCGGCCACAATGCTGGCAGCAGCAACCCTGCTGGCCGTGGAAAGAAGGCCGGTGGTGCCAGTAATGGCACAACTATCATGTTGCCGCAGGTGCCAGAGTCAGGAAAAAGGAAAGGACCTCCGCACCCCTCTGCCACCCTCGCAAAGGCGGTAATTGAGGAGCAGAAGTTGCTCCGTTTAAGTTTGGAAACGGCTCGGGGCCGTGAGTTCACTCTGCGGGAGCAGGAGCTCAAAATTCAAGAAAAAGCACTGGCCGTGCAAGAAAAGCTTGCGAATGCCATGATGGCCTTTTTCAATAAAACAGGCTAGAGCGGAAGCTGTAGCTTCAAAAAAGTGGTGCTGCTTTTTTTTTTTTTGTTTGTTTTTCTTTGCTGACAAATTATTTTGGGCTTACCAGGGAAGTAACATCATCTTAAAACCACAAATAACAAGTTTAGAACAGATAGTGCTTGCATGACATTACAACAGTGACAGCAACAATGGGTATTTATTCACCACAGCTGGGATCCAAAGATACACAGGTCCACATTCCGAAGGTGGACAGTAAATAAGAGTGTGGCAACCATCGGCAAAATAGTAATCATACAATGTGAAATACAATGAACATGCATGCTGCATAAACTAGATAGAGAAAAATTAAAAAAGAGCAAGCCACACACAAGCCTGTTAAGGCATGTTCCATCCAATTGTTGAAAACATCTTTTCAAGCCTGCAGCTGAAATGTTCCGAGACATAGCAAAAGAATTGATTACATCATCACATCAAAGCATTTAAAAGTTTACTACAACGCTTAAATCAAGTACACTCTGGAAAAGCTTTTTTTTTTCTCTCCTATACTTCTTTTTACCTTTGGAACCGCAACAAAAAAAAGTCTGACTCCTTGCGGACATTTACAAATTTTCACCCTTTATATGGTGCATCAAGATACTTTATGGGAGTTTGTGGTTAGTCATTGTTACAATATCAAAACATGTTTCAAGCACAAACAAATTTGAAAAGAGTACATGACGGCGGACGATGCAGTGTGTAGGCTTCAGAGTGCAGCGGATGCCAGGAGCTGATGGCGCCAATCACGGCATGCAAAAGAGCAACGTTAAGGCTCTCCTCTTTCCTAGAGGGCATTCTTAGGGGCTAATCCAATCAAATGCAGCAGGAGAGAAGAGGGCGATGATGTTACGATTCTAATTCTGGGATTTTAGTAAGAACTACTTAGTGCACCTTATGAACATTGTAAAAAAAAGAACTTGGTGTTTTCTTTACATGGGAACGATAATAGAATAACTATATCAAGCAACATCCACAAGTATGAACATATGTGCCAAGGGTCTGGAAGGATTGTTTCCCTCGACAACACTGTTGTGCCACCATTGACCCTGTGCTTGAACTGAAGCAAAAGCCCGAGATATATGTCGATAAACTGAAAGTGCAAGTTTTAACTATCGTGTTCATAATTGTTTGAAACAAAGCAACTTCTTTCTTCAGCAGGGAGAATAATAAAAATAAATTGCAGGGTTTTCTCTTTAGGTTAAAAGCACTAACAAAAAAAAATTGGGGTGTCTGAATGCTTATACAGCCTAGCACTTTGTCTGCCTCAATGGGCAATTTGTCTCCCAGCTGTAGATGAGAAATTTAGCTAGTGCAGTACAACCGCTAGCCTGGGGTCTTTAAAATTCATCACGCAGTAGTGATACATGACCGCACGCCAGTACAATGCGCTCATCCACATCGAAACAGGCAGGGGTGGGGATTGAACCCAGGATCCCCCAATTCTGCAGCGTGAGCTTTTGCTCCACGTGCTCCAAGCTCGTGTGTGCTAGCCTACTCAGCCACCAATCCTCCTAAAGCTCTAACATACCAAAAAAAACATCCCTGAAAAAAGAAAATACAAAAGAGTATTTTTCAGTGTTATATTGTTCAATAGATGTCAATTGATGAATATTTCCACAACCAGAGTACAAAACCGCTCACGAGTCTCAGTATGGGAGAAATGCACGCGGATATAATCTCTTGCGGTCTAGGTCTTCGCTATCAATAAGAGCACTCAATATGTGGAGCTCTGATCAATATTGTCATTAATTTTGAAAAAAGTCTGATTCGCATTTAATTGATAATCACTATGTTGGTCAGCCACACGCAATCGCTTGCCCTTTATCGACCGTTTCACTGTTCTGAAATATCTCAAATAAAAGTGTGTGTTACGTTTTTGGATCAAGCTTTTAATATGAAAATAGAATGTGCATGATTGCAATTATTGAATTTTTGGGACGCTTCAAGCTCATAAATTAAGTTACTGCCACAGAAAGTCAATGTCAGAAAAATCATTAGATATGCAAGTTCCTTGAAACAGTCGTACTAAGTGGAGAAGCTATTACAAAAAAAGGTTTCCATTAAGAGTCTTGTTCTCCAAATATGTTGGGTAGCTGAATTACTGTATGTATGAGCAAAGTATGAAATTTGGACATAGTAATGCTGCACATACATACCGGTAAACAGACCAGCACATATGCAGGTGGCAGGGAGGGATTGACGATAAACCATGCAACTTCCGAACAAACAGTAAGGCCAGCTAGCTTCACCAAGAGGTGTGGGCATGCACAGGGCTAGTGCAGTAAGTTGGCTTCACATTTCGTTTGGAAGTTGGATGATCTTCCATCGAGTCCTTCCTGCCACTTGTACATGTGATGTCATCACTAGATTACGTTGCGTGTTGCTGCGTGTTCCGCCTATGGAGGTAGGCTGCTATGGCTGCCCTCACGTCCTGTCCATTTCCAGCGGCAACATCCGTTCTACAGAGAGGTTGCAGGAACATGCGGTCGTAGAGCTGCACCTCGGTGACCCACTGTGGCTCAACCCCATCATTGAAGTGCTCGCAGATGTTGTTGAGCACACAGCAGGCTCGGATGATGACCCTGGCATTGTCTACATGGCACTCCATTCTTTTCATTATGCAGCGAAAGCGTGCCTTCACTCTGCCAAAGGCGTTCTCTACTATCCTTCGTGCTCCCGAGAGCTGCTTGTTGAAGCTAGCTTCCGGAGAACTATCCTTTAAGCCCTTGCGCGGATAGGGCTTGAGGAGGTTTGATGTGAGAGGGAAGGCCTGATCGCACAAGATCAGTGGTGGCACAACAGCTCCATTCACAGTGACAAGCGGAGCTCGAAACAACGGTCCTTCCAAGACCTTTGCAAGCTCCGACCTGCGGAAGACGTGTGCGTCGTGGCATCGCCCTGGTGCTCCCACGTTGACATAGCGGAACATGTAGCGGTGGTCCACCAGAGCCAGCAGAATGATGCTATGCCTGAAAAAGAAGCATTGCATGCAGGCAGATTTAATTATGAAAATCCCAACACTTTGAAATGCTTCGTTTGGCTGTTTGGCACGGAGATCTTCTAATTGTTGATATCCCAAATGTTAAATGGATACAGAAACCAAAGTCTGTAGCTCATCTCTTTGCTTATGGAACTTCACCAACACCAATATTTCGTAGGATAATGCAAGAAAACATAATTTGAACTGAATACAATGATAACCAAGAACCATCTCGTGGATGTCTTGAAAGCTTCAATGGAATGTCGTGCCAATAACATGCAAGTAAAGGCCTGTTCACACCTGCAACTGAGTAGGACGGAGAGAGACAAGACCCTCTTGGCGATGGCCTAGGACAATTTACAAACCCCGCTAGAACCAGACAAGAAAACGACTGAGCCCGGAGTATAGCTGTCCGACGGCAGAAACTGTACTTCAAGCCATCATTACCGAGTGCCCCAATTATGACAGGAACAGGGACAATGTGTACACCAGACTCGCTGTCAAGAGGCAAGTTTCTACGGATAATATTGTTTCTGGTGCTATTAAAAAGATGCGAAACATCTGTCAATGCACCCTTGAATTTTTTTTGTGGTAAAGGACTCTTGCAGAATACACCAAAACAACAGAGACCCGGGGTGGGGGGGGGGGGGAGGGGAGGGAAGGGAGGGAGGGAGGGAGGGAGGGAAGGGAGGGAGGGAGGGAGGGAGGAGGAGGAGGGAGGGAGGGAGGGAGGGAGGGATCAGTGGCCGAGAGGGCTAGCGCACAACAGCTCGGAGCATGTGGAGCGAAAGCTCGCGCTGCAGAACCCAGGGATCCTGGGATCCCCATCACTGCTTGTTTCGATCTGGATGAGCATCGTACTGGCGTGTGGTCATGTACTGCTACTGCGTGGTGCTTGTTAAAGACCCCAGATTAGCGATTGTACCGCACTGGCTAAATTGCTCATCTACAGCTGAGACACCAGACGCCCACTGAGGCAGGCTAACTTCCGGCTGTGTAAACAGACGACAATTTGCATACAGAGACGTATGGTTCAAGAGAGCTCTCGGGCTAAACCCTTAACTAGCCAATGACAGCACCAGCGCTAGATGCTGGCTTAACCTAGGGAAAGTCAAACACAAACAGGCCACCACCACCACCACCACTACATACCAGCCCTTGTAGTTGTGGTAGTCGCTTGCATTTTCTTGTGGTGGTGACACCGGGAAGTGGCACCCATCCAGCGCTCCAACTCCTTGCGGAAACTCCAACGCAGCTTGGAACTCTCGGATATGTTCCGGCAGCTCCTTTGGGGTCATCAGTTTGACCCATTCGGGCTCGAGGACAGCCACGATCGTCTCGCAAAACTCCCGGTACAGTTCATTGACTGTCGATCGGCCGATACCGAACAGGGTGGCCACCGTCCTGTCCTCGGCCGTGGAGCATAGTTTGAAGAGGGCCACTCCCACCCGCTTCTCCATCGCGATCGTCTCCCGCATGCAGGTGACTTGTCGCTCCATGTAAGGCCGGCACACATCAACAAGGTAGCGAAATGTAGCTGGCCTTACACGGAACGCCTGTTTGAAAAAGTACTCCGGCATGTTGGGCAGGGTGTCTTCGAACCATCGCTCGTGCCTCGCGAAGGACTGCACCTGCCGATGCACTGTGAGGCAGTCCACCGCTGTTGTTGCGAGCACGAAGTTATTTGCCAGCATTTGGTCCTCCAAGCGATCGGCCTCACTTTTTGCCGATGACACGGCAGCTCGGACGGCAGCCAGAGAGCTTTGCTGCTGCGCGTGCATGCATAAAAGTAGAGCGACCTGAGTCTCTGGCGGCTCTGAATGTTCCATTGTTGACACTCTCAGAAGCAAACAAATCGAGCAGACGAGGAACCGTCCTGACCGAGCAGACGAGGAATCACGGCAGCGCGAGGAACGATGGCGAGCTCAGTCGCTCAGAAGCTCAGTTTTCGAGCGGGAACATCATTGTTGCCTTTAGAGCGGGTCATACCAGCCAGTACCACCCAAAAGTCGCTTCGCTAGCAAAAACACTGCGTGTATTTGTTGAAAAAACACTATATAAACACAATCCATAATTTTTTTTTACACAAATAAATGGCAATACATCAGTAATTTTGTTTCATTGAGCCATTTATTTTGATAAATGAGTGACTGCTGTCTCTAACAAATCGAAAAATACAATTGCAATAAACATCTCCTAAATGGCATTCGAGATGTTCTCCGACACGTCTGACACCCGAAAGCTTGAATGACCTTTGAGAATCTCGAAGGCCTTTGGCCTAAATGGCATTTGAGTTGACCGTCTGACAGGGGTATAAGAGAGGAGCAGAGTCGTTTCCCGATTTCGCGTTACGCTCAAGGCTAACCTAGTCGAGTGGTTAAAAAGCACGGAGGTTTACGGAGATACGAGAAGGTTGTCGACTGCATTGCGCTCGAACAGTTTTTGCTGAACATTCTAAAGAACATTAGGTTCTGGGTCCACGACAGAGACCCGGAAATGGACCTCCGGAAAGTGGCAGGTCTCACGGAGGATTACTCGATGCGCAGAAGTCTAGAGAAAGACCAGGCTGGACAGCCGCACTTTGGGCGTGAAGGCCAGAAAGGATACCCGCCGGGGAGGGCCGACTCAGATAAGTGATTTCTCATGAAGGGAAACACGAGAAACTTTACAAAAGAGGGGGCGCAGCGCAAAGAGGGGGAAGCTCTCAGTAGAGGGAAGGAAGCAAAGGTTGAGAACAAGGCGAGGGTTTTTGAGGCAGAGACTGGTCCTGTGCTTGATTTAGATGCAACAAACGAGGGCACATTGCAGCTAACTGCCCCGAGAAGGTTGTGTTTTCTTACGTTATTGACAGCGCCAAGAGCGGTGCCCTGCTTGCCCCATGCACGAAAGAAATGATCGTGAATGGCAAAGCCCGCAAGGTGCTTTGTGATTCGGCAGCGACGATGAACGTGGTCAAACCGTCTTATGTTGAGTCAGGCGGCTCTTCAGGCGAGTGCGCATGGATAAGGCAGGTCGTGGAAGAGCACAGCGTCTACCTTTCAATTGCAAAGATGTCTCTTCAGGAACCTTTCGGAAAGCTCATGACCGAGGCAGCGGTATTCGCTACTCTAACTAACTATAGGTGGCGCCACCCATTTTCCAAGATGGCGGGTTTAGTGAGGGTCAAAGATGCGTGCCGCTGTTGAGCCTGTCTAGTGTGCTGGCTTCACTGAGCGACATAAATTATTTCTGGTAATACGAGGAAGCTAATGTTTTATGAGCGCAGGTCACCTCTTTAACCTGAAAAAAAGAACGGTGTTTAGCGTATTATTTACGGAAGGATGCGCGTTTTAATTCTGGAGTGAAACCGAAACTTACCTCTATTTTGGATTTAATTTCTCGACAGAGGTCTTAATTTCGGATTGTTTCATGACTCAAGATGTGTCTCACATCGTAATTATTTACTTAGAAAAGTTGTTCGCAGAAACTTTATTTTGTGACATACTGTTCGATCCAGGCTGATATTCGTAGTTGTTGAAAAAATCAGTGCTGATATCTGTGCGTTCTCGCTGCCTTTTTCTGGCTCAGATAATTGGCATGGGAAATAATGACAATTATCCCAGCACAAGAATAAGAGAATAATTCCAATTTTAACAATATGTCCACGAAACGCCTAAACTAATAAACGCTGCTCTCACTGCAACAACCCAAGACGGAATCCGAGTCAGAGAGCTGAAGTGTGTGTGTGTTTTTATAGCACCGCGTGACACGTTGGACTTTCTTTATTACGTGCAGCGTTTAACTGTTTGTCTACCTTGATAACTATGTCAGAGTTTTTCATTTGCTAAAAAAAAACACAATTATACCTTTCTGAAAAGACTATCATGGTTAAATAAAGTATTCTCGTGATCTTGGCGTTAATTAGAGGCATACATTGCCGCGATTTGTATTAATAATAATAATATTAAAATCACATATTTGAATAAGTAATTCTTTAAGCTCTAATATAATTTGTTGCTTATGATCTAATTTTAGACGCGCGAAGAAATATGACAATGAAAACTGTGCAAATTATCATCACTGGTTCCAATTGCTGCATTTTAATTACAAATAAAATAAAAATAGTCTAAAATAAATGAAAACATTTTAGCTAATGTGAGAAATCCATGTAAAATTACATTAATTGTGGGTAAAGTGTATTGTGCTATTAAAGTCGCAACTTTTGACAATCGGCGAAACGTCCAAAGTCGCCGCCAATATACTTCCAGACCAAATGCTCAAAAGTAAATAAAAAAAAGTTTTTTTTTTAATTACTAGTTTTTTCATAACATATATTTACTTTATATTAGTCTCGTCTTAACCTTCCTCTACTTTCCTCCCGCCGTCGAATTTCCCGCCTTTCTCTTCTTCATAAAGTCTTCTAGAAACCTTTCTTGAAAATGTCTCTTCTGAACCCGCCCACCTACATATCATCAAGATTAGACCATTCATGCAAGATCGCCCGTCCCAAGTCATCAAGTGAAGCACACCAGCATTCCCTCATCCCTGAAGCAGTTGTGGACTGGAATGACCTCCCGGACGCCATAGTCACCATACCCGACTCCAAGCAATTCCGACTAGCCCTTCAAAACCACTTGCACTGACCCACTCCCCTCTATAACGCCCCCGAGGCATTGAGGGTATGTATAAATGAATAAATAAATAAATAAATTTTGTATTTGCTCGCCGTCGTTTTGCCAATCTCAGCCTTTCCAGTTCGAAGGAACGCCTACCTGCTTGCACGTCTGCTCACTGCAGCACGTTTCGTTGGAGTTGGAAGCCGGTGAAACAGTAGTGAGTTTTAATATTGCGTATACGAGCGAACTCAAGCCTTGTGTGTTTGCTTTAGCTTTGCGCGTTCCACACTGCGCGTGCGCGGAGCCCGAAATCGCGGTCTTGGATGGCGCATGGCGATGAGGCGCACGCCTCATCGCCATGCGCCATCCACGCCATCCATACGCCATCCACTCTAACGCATACGCCATCCACTCTAACGCAAACGCACACCGCTTGCGTTTGCTTCTATGCGCAATACTAAAACTCTCCAGTAAGGTACAATCCCATACCGGCTGCAGCACTACGTTGGGACAGTGAAGAGTGCTGTTTACATTCGGAAACGATATTTCGCGAGCCATGATCGCGAGCAGTTCCGCCATGCCCGCTGAGCAGGAGAATCGGGGGACACTCACTAGAGCGCTCCCCGTTTCCGCCGCGGGAGGGCGAGCGTCGAGTTGGAGACGCGAATATAAGAACCCTCCGCTACATTACCCGTACCTATTCGCTAACAAGTCGGAACTTTTGCTACGCGAAAAGAAGAGGAGTTTCGCAGAGGAGACAGTAATGGCACTGACGTGTTCTAAAGCGAGGGAACTCTCCCCAATGTTAAGGAATGACTCTAATAAAGAGGTTCATGATACCGCACCTCGGTACCTCTGCTCGAAACTTTGCCAGTCTATTGGCATATTACGCAGGCTTAGATTACTTCTTCCATGTTGGTTAAAACGTCAATTATATTACGCATTGTTATACTCTCACCTAAACTATTGTCTACTTATCTGGGGCACAACAGGAACTACGAAGTTTAACAGGTTACTTGCCCTACAAAAGAAAGCGATTCGATGCATAGACAATTTAGATTTTTGCGCTCACACCCGCTCTTTCTTTCTCCATACACAAGATTTTTACAATTCAGCAACAATATAACTTCAAATTCGCCTTATTAATTTATAAAGAGATAAAAAAAACGGCGGGTCCTCGTCTATAGATATATATCCAAGGAAAATTACGACATATAATTTACGGCATGAGTTATTCCTTCAGGAGAGAATTCCCACAAATTACGGGCCACAGAACTTGAGCTTTTTGGCTCCCAAATATTTAAACAAATTTTCAGAAGTATTACAGTTTATAAAGTGCTGCTCTTCTTTGCGGAGCTTTAAAAAGAAAATAAAAGCGTACATTTTTACGCTCTCGGCTTAAATATTGGGCCGCTGCTTCATGCTCTCCAGATTCAGATGATTACTATTTTATGCATTCATTTACGAATCGATTTAAGGCAAATCCTCCCTGTTTTTGTCTGGTTGTTTTTATTTTGTGTTTAATTTGTGTTTTGTTTGTGTTTAATTTATGTCAAAACAGTTTCTGTGAAAATATTTTTACCTTGAATTTTATATGTATGACTTTCACACTGCTGCTGCGACTGCTGTAGCGCTGAAAAGGGGAATGGAGCCTCGTCAGGTAGCTTAGGCGACCATTTGCTCCTCCCTCCCCGACATTTCGTATGTCAAATAAACTTCAATTCAATTCAATTCAAGTGCGTGTCACATATACTACACCTTTTGGGGGAACACTTGAACAGCCCAAATATCGGAGTACGTGTAGACCCGTTGGTGTGGTGCACATGTGCACCTTTTTCTATAGAAATCTCACACGAAGGGAACACAGGTGCACCCCATTCAATGGTGTACGGCTACACCTCTTTCTATACCCAATGAAATGAAAGGGAACACAGGTGCACCCCGTTCGAGGGTGTACCATTGCACCGCTTCATAAACCCGCCTCACTCAAAGGGAACCCAATTGCACCCCGCTCAATAGTGTACCATTACTCCCCTTTCTACACCTACTGCCCTCAAAGGGAATACAGGAGCACCCCGTTGAATAGTGTACTGTTACGCCTCCTTCTATACCCACTGAATTCGAAGAGAACACAGATGCAATCGATTCAAAGGTGCATGGTCACACCACTTTATGCACCCGCCTCATAACTGACTTCATAAACCTATTTAAGACATCAAAGAAACCTCTAAAAATGTATGTGCCCCGGTGATTGCAAAAAGGCCGGTAAACGGACACACGGGAAGTTTTCAAA